AGTTGTCGGTTAATTACTTTATTTCATTATATTTACAAACACTCACTTTTATAAACTAGAAATTACTATATATCTCGTTAATCGCACTAGACATTCAGTCCACACTATAAGAGTTTAACAATTATTCAATCCTTTTCAATGTCTTCCTTTTTTGGTTAATGATATTTCGTGTACGATACGTTATCAAAAATCTACTGTCGCTCTTTGGATATGGCCTATCTTAGTACCGAAAGTCTCGTGAGATAAAGTTATTTTTAAGTTTAGAAAGACTTTGTTTTTGTCCACACCTACAATATAGTTATTAGACCTAAAACAATCAAATTAGAAAGGAAAACATTGTTCCCTTGGAATGATCAACAAATTATTTACTAATTGTTAGTGACAATCCTAAAAGCAACCTGTCAGTTCCGTTTTGTTTAGTATAATCTCTCGTAATAGAATACTAAACAAAACAGATAAGTCACCGTAGCTTTATTAGTTTGTAGCTGGAGCAAAAGAAGACTTTAAAGCTATCGGTTATGGTACAGCACTGTGGCACTAAATGTTTAATTATATTTTTTTATGTATTTAATTGTTTTTTGTTTTTTTAAAGGCACATCCCGCGTTAGGAAATTGATTTTGCAACCTGTATCGCGGGGGACCCACAAACATACATGAAACGGCCACATAGAACACCCAGACCCAGAACATCAAATTGTACGTCACACAAAGTGTTGTCCCATGTAGGAATGGAACCCACAACACTCAGTGCAGTAGGAAGTGACCACTTAAACCACTACGCCATCTGTGCAGTCATTGATTTCTTTGTGATAATCGAACCTGATAACTATCCCATCAAGTTAGCTTCAGTTTAGCTAGTAGGCGACACGGGCTCCCCGTATGACTCTTAAAGTGTGGCGCGCCAGGGAGTCTATGTCGATGTTAGCTTATCCATCTGTCTATTGACAACTGCATTATTCACGTGCTAAGGTGCGAGACTATACTCCGAAGATTATGTTATACAATTTACGTATTTGGTTCACGGGCTGTCCTAGTTGTTTCGATAGATGTATACAAGTCTTGAAATATCCTTACACTGAATAGAAATAAACACAAAAAAGTATTTTGTAAGAACTACATTTTGTGTAGAACAATAGAAAAATGAAATACATCAGGAAATAAGAAAACTTCGGCACATTTATTTTGTAGTAGGTAGACCCAAATAACGATTATTCTTTTGCGGTTATTTCATCAATAAATGTACATACATATTTGAATTCGTCAATATATTATAACTTTGCTCTATTTATGAAAGCAACAAAAGTGCAAAATAAAATAAAGATATAAGACAATTATCTATTCTCTGGTTGAGTCTATACACTATATGTGTGACGCTGGCTCGTGGGTTTTGTAGAATTCTTTTTTTAAATTGAATCACTCCTAAAAATATTTCTATTGCAATGTAATAATTTGATGATAACTATTTTATAATCTTATAAAAAAAAGTTTAAAAAAGCCAACTGCTTAGGTTATGCTACAACACTCGTAATAGCGATAGATGGTATGAAAATACTAATACTTCATTGGCATGTCGAAACTGTCTACTGTCCATATATGCTTTGAGAGCTACATGCTGTTGTAGTCAGGAAACCCAGTGTCTGCGTGCTAGGATGTGTGTACACCGTTTTACAAGAAGTATAGTACATAAAAGTGTCAGACATATAAGGTATAAAGGGCGCCATTTGTACACCGCTTTACAAGAAGTATTTTACATAAAAGTGTCAGACATATAATGTATAAAGGGCGGCCTTAGTGCTAAGAGCAATCTCTTCCAGGCGACCTTAGGATTATATTCCGGACCTTAATATTCCGGGGAGACAGTAATAGTTGACGGTGCAATGAGTTTTTAAGGTTAATTGCTAACGAATATAAACGAGATAATAACTAGATATATATTTAATATAATAAATATACACATATATATACACACATACATCTATATAACATAAAAACAAATATTTTTACATACTAGCAAATATACATACATCCATAACTACTTAAGTATATCACATATAAAAAAGAAAACATTCACATCATACCTTAATATATAGCTGACTTAATTAAGATACATAAAATTCTTGAACCATTTCCTTAACACTGTTTATTGTTTGCGCTCGCCTGAAGATGTTCGTTTATTGAACTTATGAACTCCATGCATGGTGCAAACAAACAGACGAGTCACGAGATGGAAAGTCACTACTTTCGCCCATGAACGCCTGCAGAGCGGTGACTTATCTATTTTGCTTTTCGGGACTGGAATACACTCTTTTCTTGGTGGTTGGGAATTCGGTCCGATAATACTACTATATATTTCTTCCAAAGATTGATTGTGCGAAGCAAAAAGTTTATTGAAAGCGCATAGTGACGTATTAGTCCAAACTATTCATCGGAGCACTCCCCATGATACAAGCAATAGAGAAGGCAGGTAAGCGTTAATATTTTCTTTTTTTCCTCATAAACTGCATAGCACATCATAAAGAGATAAAAAATCCTTTACACAAAGTTGGCAACACGAATTATCGTAAAATCTCATCCCATAAGAAAATAGACATATGACAAACGAATCGCATTCGCTTACACAATTTATCAACGTAATTCTGCACAAACGGCTTGCGAATATAGCTACTAGAAGAACGTTTAGTATTTCTCCGGTGTCTCTAAGGAGCCAGCCAGTGCTATAAAAAGAAGTTACTAAAATCCTTGAACAACCTGTGTTTATGGACAATACACAGATAAAGTAACGTAAGTAGATTTAAAAATAAATCTTAAACATCTCTGCAACGAATTTATATTTTTTAAATAAAAAGACACTCAAATACATATTTTTATTAAATATATGAGCCATAAATCTTATTATTACATTTCTAAAACCACTTTTAACCATCAAAAGGAGCGTCAGTCGAAAATATATTTCCAACATGAAAGGGCTGGTTGAGAAAGGCTGCGGTAGCGCGCTCGAGAAATAAGGAGGCACTTGAAAACATGCTTTTTCCACGTAATGCCTTTGAGGAAATTAAATAAACTGCAACACCGCATCATAAGCATCCTTACGAGGTACGCTGTCTGTGTTGTTTTCCAATGGACGATACGGTACGTCACCACACGTGCGTGAATATTTTTGATTTCATTAACCGACTTCAACAAAAAAAAGACAACCGAACTGAGTATTTTCTTTACTAAATTCGGTTGTCTTTTTGTTTGCTATCTCAGAACTTCGTCATTTACGAATCGATGTGGATTTTTTCATTTCGGAGGGTATGTTACCCGTTTGATCCATTTTTAATTTCTAATTACCACACCTAAACATGGAAAATTAAGCAATGAATACTACAATTCATTATAGTTCATCATGATGCATGTGCAGGTGCATTGAGGTTGGTGTTATTAAAAAAAAGTAACAGTAAGTTTTTAACATTTGTTAGAGTACAGTATCGATTCGTATGCGCCGCTTAAATGAGATTGTTGTATCTAAAGTAATTAATTGATTGTAACACTGTTTGACTAAGTTCCTTTTTTTTCTGTAGTATTAAACTTTATGATATGATGACTTTTAAAACTTCAAGTACTTGGGAAACAAGTAATTTACGCAAGTCCGTCATTGTTATTTTACACCAGCAATGTACAGACTCTGTACATTCATAAAGACAAGATACATATATTTCTTTTAAGGTCACATATCTACGTTAAATATTTTAGATTTCTTATATGGTAAGATAATAACCGTATCGCTCTATGCAATGGACACTCACTTGGTATATATCGGCGACGTCGCGTGTACGCAGTGGTTTGCCATAGCAGTAGCTTCTATATTCGGTGTGACGTAATTTCGTCTTACTTTTCACCTAAATTTCATGATCAGAACCTAAAGTTAGAATGTATTTTATAAAGCAATTGCAGTGTATTCATGTAAACATGTAATTGTTAGAATTTTTTTATTAAACAATTTACTAAATTTTAATAATGTTAATTTGACTACTGTTTAAGATATTGTGCTTATAATTCGACTATTTTAAAAGGCTACATTGTTAAACGCTATAACAGCCGCTTAGTTACCGCTTACTCATATTAGCCAGTGCAGGTCAGTAACTGTCTTCTTTGTTAAATCACACAGTCATTATGTTCATTCGCGTTAAGAAAATATTAACCTGTGTATGTGCCTGACCAATCGCGTCCCAAACTTTCGTACAAATCGATAATCTCTTGGAACCTGAATATATTTTTGAACCTTCTGAATCTTTCATATTTGTTTGTGGTCACTGTTCCATTCCTAAGGATATAAGAAAACGCAAACAAATTCGGCCAAATTATAGAAATCAAAACAGAAGGCCAATCTACTCTTGATCTCACAAATGTCACTTAATATATTTTCATTAAAAAAATTAGTAAAGTAATACCAAGACTAGCAGATTACCGAATCAACTTTTGGTAACAATACCAAACGAGTATAATCACATTACAGTCAAATTTGGATGTTTACTACATAACTACGAAAATACCGTTTATAACATTTATGAGATCGGTAGTAGATTGGAACTGAATTTTAACTGAATTGTTATTACAAGAATTAACCGTCTGAATGTCCAGGTTCAGGTGCAGATTAGCACTACACTTTTGTAAGTTCTAGTGTGGCTTACGCTCTTATGCTGTCTGTAAAAGGACTGTTGTGTGTTGTATGTGTCTTGTGAGGACCATTAGTGTTTTTGATTTTAAAAAAGGTTAACAGCAATATATACACATACGACGATACAATTCGGCATAGTTCACACGGGACATCTGAAGATTTCTCATGTTTTGTAATGAATAGCCAATAACATTATTCTTTATTAACAATGGTGTTGATTATAAATTTAGTACAAACACTACATTGTAGTGGAAAAATAATTGATGACATCCCAACCTTACCGGTCGTAACGAAGACAATGGAATTGCTTTAGTTGTAGATTGAGAATTGAAGTGTCAACATGTATCAAAGTGGTGTAATGGTGGCTGCGTTATTCATTTTCGTAAGTTCCTTTTTAAATACTACCAATCGTATTACTTTCTTTAATTTAGTTTACGTTCATATAAAATCCCTAACATACATTCGTATATCTTTACAGCCCTACTAACAGACGAACGAAAATTTTGAATATTTATTTTAATTTGTAAAAACATCATCTTTTGTACCTCAGAGAGAGTGAGGTTTTTGCACAAAATGTTGAAGTGCATTTGCTTGTATCAAGGTGGACTTGCTGTTAGGCTTTATGGGTACCCACCACCCTTCCCATCTCCTTATTTGCAACCTAAAAATAATCTGAAATAATACGCAAGATATGTTTGTTATCCACGTTCTTCTGTACGTTTTATTAACCTATTTAGCAACTCGCATTGGACTCAATTAATATACAAGTACAAGAGGAACTCAAAAATAAAATTCCTATGTACTCCTTCCACTATTACTCGATCAATCATTCAGGGTTTATTCTAATGATATGTATAACTATAACCATTTCAATAAAGATTATTCTTCACAGACTAAAATCAATGCCGAGTCCTCAGAAGATTCACAGACCTTCACCTATTATGCACCACCAACATTGAATTTTCAAGACATCTATGCGAACAATCTTGCCTTATTAACAGAAGACTCAACCATGAGTAATTTGTTAGACGACGAACCGTTTCACATCAAAAACGTGCCAGCAGAATTTGTAGAATTTAATCCTCAAAGTGTTACGGCTCCATCATTAACATCACTCTCTTCAAAACACAGCCTGAACTCTACTTCCAGTAAGAATAATACTGCAGCGATAACCACCCCGCTGAGAACCACGTCCACAACAGAAGAACCAGAGTCAACTGTCAAAGTTCTTCCTATTGTCAAGAGCAATAAGTACCAAAGAGGAGTTTTAGACCTCTTGTTTCCAGCCACGAGGGTCAAAAACTTTAAATCTGTTTTTGATACTGTTCGGCGGTTGCTATCTCACACATTTTAGATTGTCTTCATTTCATGAACAGTGCTGCACTGTTGTAGGTGTTACTGTACTAGATCAGAGCTCTGAATAAATGTGCCAACAAAGTTTTTTATAAAGGTTTAGAAGATTTTAAATAATGAGTAATAAGTTTCTTCTTCAAAAGAACAATGGAGAGTTAAAGCCTTTTACTCTTTGAAGAAAAACCAAATGTGTATTGCAAACTGCGAGTTTGCTTTAAGTGAGTCAGATGGTAATATTATTGCCCAGTTGCTATGTCGCGTTCTGCAATAAGTATGAGTGTCCACGTCTAAGCTTCAAAGTTGCACCTATAAGTTTTTATTTTATTTAACAAGTAATATAGTTTGCTGAAATGTAAATAGGTATATTCAATATACAATTGCCGTACTATATTACAATAAAATATACTATTAATATTTTACTGTAATTTTATTAGGAATACATTTAATATGTAGATAAATGTGATACAATTGGAACTTATCCAAATAATTGATGACAAGATAGGCATGAACTCCTTGCATGGTTTTCAGAATAGTATTCGGTTTATCAACATATTAAAACTACCCCGTAAATTAACAAAACACAGCATGAAAGTTTAATAAAATTAAGTAGATTGCTATTGAAGATTACAATTCAAATGTATAAGGCAGCTAATCAAATTTTTACTTTATACAATAAGGGTTAGTATAAGGTAATGCAGTATAGTAATTGTTTTTGATTTAATATACTAGATAACTGTACTATCAAACCAATTTTCTTAAACGCCAAAATTGTGCGTGTGTATGTGACTTTTTTTTCCATTTATTGACACAAAAAATACATTACGATGTTAGCTGTAAAACGTCACAAAACCTTAACAGGTTTGTCTGGACGTTGAATCACCCTTGAGCAATCTGTTAACATCATTTCACTTAGAAATAACTTAAAACCAAAAACAATGTTTATAACATAGAACCGACAATAGGCTAATACTTCTTATCGCTAAGAAACCGGTTCTGAACTGACTGAACTCCTCCTAAACGACCGGACCGATTTTGATGATATTTTTGTGTGTTCAAGTCTATTCAAGATTTTTTTCGTTTAGATTCACAATTCGGTCAACGGACAACTATAGGGTTCGCTAGTATATATTTAAAATAATGATCTGTGATTATTTTTATAGTTTGGTTTGATATAACATTCTTGAAACAATGATCAGTATTTTTAAGTCTTGTGGATGGTATTTTTTGTACATACTACAGGGCGATGGTGTGTTAAGCCGGTTTTGAAATCCTTTAGTATCTACTAATCATTATCTAATGATATGTCCTGCCTTCAAAGAAGTCTAACTCTGAAAGATGTTTACTGAAGTTATGTGTAGTTCGTCACAAGCGTTAAATCAGTTACATTATGTACGAAAACTGCGTAAATTAGTTTATGTAATATAAAATTAATTAACATTTGTAAGCAATTTTCGTAAAACAGATATTCATAATTGAGTCTTCTGTTCCCTTTTAAAAACTTGAGATAAAAAGAGACGCACTGATTTAGTTCATGACATCAAACATGGCTCCACTGTGTGTACCTACTTGACTCAATGCAGGCGCTTGGCTATTTTTCCTTGTATTTTCTTTACTTTATATATTTTGTTTAAATATTGTACAAAAGTTACTTGTTTGTTTTATTTTACCCTATTATTTAAAAATGATGTAAGAATGATGAAATACTCTTTTTACTCCTGACTATATAATTCTAAACACATACAGATTACAGATAAATAACACCCGACACAGAATAAATGATAGTGCTCATCACACAATTATTTGTCCTGGGTGGGAATCGAACCCACGACCACCGGCTTAGCAGCAATGGTCAGTAGCCACTAGACCAACACAGGCCAGTCGGAAAAACCACAGACGCAACTTGTTTCACAGATTGGTTGTGCGGGACAAAGAGTAGTGGAGTACCAATTATCCAGGTGATATGGATGGAATTTTTTACCACGTTAAACGATGTTTAAAAAATATTTCGACGTTGGTAATTGAGTTCAGTTTAGAGGTAAGTGGTCATTTTCAGCCACTCGTCTAGTTCTCTCTAGATTATACTAGTTTATAATATATCTATATTCACGAGTATTAGAGCTCTCGATGACTTAACTTTCAACACATACTACTCAATATACAAAGTCAATTATTTTAGTGTTGCAAATCATCTGACACAACGCCATCTAGTTTCAAACTAAGCAGAGCTTGTACTATGAAAGCTAGATTCACTGATAGAATACTTATATACTTTTTTTGTGAATACATACTTCCATATAATACATAGAAAACACCCAAACTCCGAAACAAATATTTGCAGATCATACAAATATTTGGTCCGACCTGAGACTCGAAGCCGAAACCTCAGACCTTTTACATCAATACTATGTTGACATTAGACGACCGTAGGAGCACTCTTACAGGATCTTACTTTCTTAAAGTAACTGGTCCACTGTTCACTTTAAGACGATAAAACACCCTACAAAAGGTAAATTTTGAGTTGCTAAACGACTTCCAAAAAGTAGGAGGTACTTTTAATGGAACTAATTTCCCCCACATGGCCACCACTGTAACTCCTGTACACCAGGATCAACAGCAGTGACCCACGAACACACCGATTTATGACACTCGGGAAGTTCTAGGAAAAAATTAAACTGTCTTGGAACCCGCAACGAAATTAATCAGAAGAAAATTGGAGGAATTGGAAATACAGTAAATCCACTTCCCTCCTTAGCAAAGCGGGAGACCAAATGATGGTAGAAACTACATGCATTTTGTCTCCCGCTGAGGAGGTACTACCCCTCCCGAGAAAGAGGTTACATTCATCCGTATGTAATGTTTGTACGAGTACATCAATATTCCTTATATCTACCGACCGATTTAAAACAAATATTTATACTAAACCGTTGCCCCTCATATAAATATTAATAACTAAGTAGTAAAATAAATAATGAACATGCTTGAAAACTTTGACATCACTCTTTAGAAAAACTGTGGAACAGCATTTATATAAAAAGAACATGGAAAGTCATCACACAACAAGGTAATGATCCATATCAACGTCGACACGTTACCCAAAATATTTCGTTCATTTTGAAGTATCTGCAAAAGAGCAATTTCAAATAGTCGATTGTATGTAGTTCGTGAAATGTTTAAAGCACCACTACCATCAGTTCAAGATTGCGAGCTTCACCTGCATACATTATATCTTTTACTGAAATGTATATATCCCATTTTAATAAAATGAGATCTCCAGGTGATGCGGTTCTCTAATTGCAAAAGAATCAATAATATCGGTACAATCGTTTTTGTAAATATATTTCGAAAATTTATTTATTTATTTCTTTTAAAAACAACTATTATTACAGGTTTAGCCCAATGCAATAGTCTAGTCTAGTCCCATCTACTTATTTATTATAAGAAATAATTCTTAATTATTATTATTATCTGTTACTGTGAATCCACTCAGTGAGCAATAAAATAAATCTATTTCATCCGCAATTATATTCAGAGTACGTAGTGCGCGCGTCAGCGGTGCTTCTCTCTGCAGGTTAGTGCGCCCGCACGGGACAGCCAGCAGCGGCGGCCGGCGGCGCCGCCACACGTAGATACGGACAGATGTCCGGAACACATATGCTGACTCGTCCTAACACGTCTTCATTATGTATCCCACCCCTAAGTACCCTAAACAGGTACGAGACGAGTGTGAGTTCCCTTCTGACCCTCAGTTCATTGTATCCCACCATACCCAGAATAAATAACGTGGGATACATTAATGGATACAATGGGTATACTCCATAGTATCTGAAGTACAAAAACCTAACAAATTTATTTTGAACTCGCTCCAACATGAGGCTATATTTAGCTTCATGTGGGGCCCAGATGACTGCGTTACTCTCTAGCTGACTTCTTACCAACGCGTTATTTAATGCTATAATTGTATTTAGGTTTCTAAAGTCCTTTACTGTACGTAAAACAAAACTAAAATTCCTATAAGCTTTTTTACAACATTTCACTATGTGATCACGAAATCTTAGCTCAGTATTAACACAAATCCCTAACCTCTGTGACCCTTACCATCTGTGTCCCGTCTAAATTATAATTATACGAGATGGGTTCGCGTAAGCGTGAGAAGGTGATAGCCACGCATTTCGAGGTATTAAACTGCAAGAGATTGTCTCTACTCCATGTTACCACCCTATCTATGTCTGTCTGAAGCTTCTTGCAGTCCTCCAAGTTGTTAATAGGGAGGGAGAGCTTCAGCTTAAAATAAACAAACTAATTCATTTGTACTGTAGTATTGCCGTTAATGTTTAAATAATGACATAATATACACTAAAGCTAACATATTATTTTAATTAAATCCAAAAGTAAGGGCAGTACTCGACACAACAGCGCTCACTTGACTAAAACGTGATTCACACTGATTGCACTAATTACACTCGACACGAAAACGCTTGCACTTGAGCTTGAGCGCTTTTAAGCGTTTAAACGCTCTTGAGCGAATGCTTGTCTCCAATTAATTTTTTGGATTAACGCCAAATAATAACGGCTGTAGCCATTTCTTAGTCGAGATAAGTTTTAGGGTTATAGTTAGATTTCTATGGTATTTTGTAGAAACCTGGTAGGTCATTTTGTGTGACGGTATATTGTGTTGTGTTAATTGTTTTATTGTTAAGAGAAAGTTGAATGAAGAAATAAATTTACTTCTCTGTGAACTTTATCGGTGAGGAATATTGATTTAAAAATAAATTTTATCTTAGAATTACATACATTAAATTCTTGATAGAGCTATCAAAAATAGATGCATCTTTTTTCCAGATAATATAATCCCAGAATAATAATAATAATATAATAATAATACTTTATTTACGCAAAGATATACATATTCGACTACACAGTTGATAGGAATTTTCAATTTTGTATTTGAGATGTGAAACTCTGTCCCTTAAACTAGGCGAGTTACCTGTATCTTAAGAGACA